CAAAAAAAAAAAAAAAAAAAAAAAAAAATACTCATGAAAGATGGACACCTGAGACACTCACTAGGACCTGAGTCCTGGCATTAACATGAATCATTTGTGCCTCCTCCATCTCTCCTACATGGCCTTCATGCCTAATGATGAAAATATCTCAATAAACAAACATCCTACTCCTCAGAGTTACCATTTATAGCCTCACAAGTCATTCTAAACAGGTCAAATAAGTTGTGAATAGGTTATCTAAAAGCACACTAACAGCATCAAAAGAATATATGGGCTGCATTCATATTCCTGTTTTTAGCAAAACATAAGCCAGCCAGCTCAAGCAAAAATCACCACACATTAAAAAAGGACTTGAGAGATCCTATGCATCTTAGAAACACAGAGGCTGTGAGAAATAACTTCCTAAAGTCATACATGAATTTTAAGGTACAGCAATTAAATAAGATTCAAGGAGTGTGTCTAAACAAATTCTTGATAACTAAGAACTCTGCCTTAGCAAATAAAATCTCAGAATCCCATAATAAAAAAAGGTTGGTAGTAAGGGGTGGAGAATTTGTATGTTTTTGATTTATGATACTATTTCAGAAACTGTTTAGAATTGTGTCAGGCTATTTACAACCCAGTTCTAACAGCTCAGTAAAACTGACCAACTCTCAAGGCTTCTTTAACCCTTTCACAGCTGAAGCAGAAACCCAACTCCAGAGATAAACTGCATGGTGCACGATGTGTGGAGCTGCCATCTTTTAAATACCTGAAAAGGCTCACCAGAGACTCTTCCCCTGGCCAGCACTCCGCTTCTGGAAACTGTGACACAGGTGGCAGTGCCCCGCTGGAGACGGTGTGGCCTTGTCACTGCTGGCTCGACACACTTCAAAGCTCAAGTCAGAAGTGCGCTCAATGGTGTACAAGGAAGGGTTCTCGAGTTCGTTCTTCCTTTAAAGCACAAAGTACAGAAAGTGCTCCCCGATCCCCGATCCTTCTATTTTCTAAATGTATTGCTTGCATAAACCATTCCACACCAGCCTACACTAAACCCTATACTAGGCTAGTTTGGCCAGTGGTGTGGTCAAAATTAAGTTGACAACTTTCAATTCTTAGAAACACATCTCCTAGCATTTCCATAATCCCAAACTGCTCTCCCCTGGCAGAGCGGTAAAAGAAACCCACCTGCCTGCAGGTGAAAACTGTCTGACTACACTGCAGGTAAGCACACTACCATCTATGGGCCAATGACCTAGCCCCAAGCCCCGTGCACCTTACGGTCTGTCACTGCACTTCATTCAATCCAGCCAGGCTCAGGTGCACTCAGTCTACAGCTCCTTACTCAGTAGTGGCCCCAGGGATCCTTGGGCTCAGTGCCTGAAACATTTACTAGTTGGTGGCTTACAAAAGAAGTTTGCAGACCCTAAGCTCATAAAACAAAAGGAGACGGAGGAAGTTTCAAAACCATTTATAAATAACTTCACTCACTTATTGGAAAGGCACACACACTGAACAGCTTCAGGTACCACTAGACACGGGAGACCCCACAACAAACCAGACAAGTTGAAGTTCCTTTTTCATAGAGGTCATAGTGTAGTGAAAGGACACAGACAAGCAGAACGACTTTAATTTGGAGGACATTTGGAAGTGCTGGAGGTGCAGGGGTCCCTTAGGAGATGTCTGGCAAGATGCCATTGGAAATGGTTCTGGGATGATGAGAAGCCAGCCATGTAGAGATCTAAAGACGGCTTGTTCCAGTCAGAGAGCAAAGGCTTGAGGGAAGGAAAATGCAAAGCATTCTTCAAACAAAAGCAGAAAATGTACCTCAAGTATGGCTGATGACAGGAAGAGGCGCAAGATAAGGTCAGAGGCATTGGCAAGAGCCAGACTATATGTGACAAGTAACAAGCTGGTCCTCACTTGTTAAAATAGTACTAAATGGAAAAACAACATTCGGCTACAACTTCTCCCCTTCGACCTGCTGAAAAGCACCTGAAACTTCAAACGCCCAGCAGCTCAAGAAAGAATGCTCCGTGAGACACTTTCTGGTGAAGAGGCAGTGAACCTCCTCCCACTGCCTAGAAAAGACTGAGTTTCTTTCTCATTGCAAAGACATTAAATGATCATTTAAAAAGATTTTGTTGTGAGAGAAAGAAAGAGAATTTCCTGTTATTACACACAATTAAGGCTATTTGCCTAGTCTGCTAGGCTATTTGTTCAGTGAAGTGAAGTCTGTCCCAGCCCCACCTCTGCGAACCGCTGCGTGATCATTCTGCCAGCTAGTTTGGATGAGAGACTATCCCTGAGACCTGCAGTGACACCCGAGGCTTAGCTGCTGCGCGTAAAGCACTGTTGTTGACTAGGCGTCAAACCTCCTTTGTTAATGCCCTTCCCCCTTTTAGGAGACTTATGCATTTCAAAAGACAAGTTTCTATTTTTAGATCCAAGAATAAAGAAGTGAAGGGCACGCTGAAGAAAGGTCAAGACAGAGGTGCTCTAAAGAAACCAGGACTCTGGTCAACAGTCCAGATTTGGGAAGGGGCCCTCACCACAGCGCAGCACTGCTTGGCTCTGTAGAACAAGCTGCCCCGACAGGGAACACTGCACGGTGGCAGGTACGAGTTTATAACCAGAACCAAAACCAGACAGGTAAAGAAAGACAATGTTGAAAATGATGCTAAGGCCAAGGACTCAGCAACAACGCTGCTGGAGAAATCCAATGCACGCTTCCCAGGAGAATTTGCTTGCTATCAGTTTCCTCCCCTAGAAAATGAGGATAAAAGAGCAGTAACCCTCAGGCTGGAGGACACTGTATTTGCAAAGTGGTCAGTAAACAGTGTATTTAGCAAACGTACCCACCACTCTACACGGCCTATCTCAGCGAACTGTCATTAAGTCACCTCCCAAAGGCCCACCTTCACTGTCGCGCTGGGACTGCGGTTTCAACATGCACTTTTTGGACGTACACAAACATTCAGTCCATTGCGTGTTCCACCAACACACCTTCTTAGACCTACCCGATACTGACTAACAATGCAGTGACAGCCCACGTTTTTTAAGAGTGTACTATAGGGCATGGACTGAGGTCTAATGGATGACCTTAAATTCCAGTCCGAGCCTATGAGCTGGTTTTCCTTACTGGCACTGTTTTACAGTAACAATGGAAGTCTCACAGATGAGGTGTCCTGCCCAAGGCTGCATAGCTCAAACATGTGCAACTACACTGTGAGCCCTGGCTGGCTGGCGTGCTCTTCAGCAAAAGACCAATCTCCTGTAAAACAAGAATACAGCTATTCTTAAACGTGGTCCAAACAGCGGGGCATGGCAGGAACGCAGGACGTCTGTTCCCTAGCAGCAACAGTCGGATGCTTAGTACGCCCTGGTTCCCTCACTCCCTAAATCCCTTCTGTTTCTCAACATCAGCGCCAGGATTATGTGCCTTTTTCTGTCATTATTGCTTGCACTTTGCTTTTCTATTTAGAAGCGTTAAGCTGACAATCTTTACACAGAGTTCATAACAAAAGTGGAGGTTGGTATATGGCTCAGTGAGAAAGCACGGGCGTTAGAATAGGCGCACGTCTGTAAGCTGAGGAGCCACAGTCAGTTACCCTGACTTAATTATTACAAAGTGTATGCGTGCGCACAAATGTATATAATGTAAGTTTCTAAGTGAAAAATAGGACAAATGCCACATCTTTGAAGAAAAATGGGGAGACACAAGGAAATGGAAACCCTCGTGTGCTTAGTAACACTCACGGCAGAGTGCTCACCCTAGCCTGCTTGGTCACATCACCTGCCCACTAGAAACCTCCGAATTGGGCCTGCCATGACCTCTCTCACTTTGGACTGACAGCAAGTGTTTATCTGTCCAACAATGAAAATGTAATTCTGACAGGAAAGACGATGGAAGGACTCTCACGTGGTTTAGAATAATGCTTCTTAAATTCACAAAACTCAAAAGCCACTAGTGAATTTAACTAATACTTGCTTGATTTTTTTTTTAAATGTCCAATTTGTTTGGACAGAAAAAACCCAGGCCCAGAAAGAGGTGCTCTAGTGTGACCCATGCCCTGCTGCCTCCTGGGTAGGGGGTCCCCTGTGGAAAGGCCACTAAGCATCAGTGCTCGTTGCCCCCAATTACACCGGTCTGTGCTGTCCCTGTCAGACATCCAGATGACAAAGGCTACCAGGAATCCAGCTTTTCTGTGGTCACAAGAGGGGACTGAGTCGTCAGGCTATGGTAAGATGCCCTCCCAGTTCCTGCTTGTTCACAAAGCGATTGTGAAATAACAGATCTGTCATGTTTGCTCCACTCCATCACAGCTGAATTTCCATTTGCAAGGGAAGGAGGGTTAATGGTGGGCCTCAAATGTAAAAACAAGGCAGTCTATGCTGGTAGGTTGAAAGGTATTAAATTCATCTGTTCTTATCATTGTTCCATTATCTCAAACATTCTACTATTAAAATGGGTGGTGGTGGAGAAAAAACTTATTTTGCACTCATTTAAACCCAATGAACTGCTATTTATAGGTAGAAAAATAGGCAAGGCTGCTGGTCAGGATGGAGGCCACCGCCCAGCACCAGGCATCACAGAAGGGCTCCGTGGGCTTGCGAGGAGCAGAAGCTGATCCACAAGGTGAAGTTAAGCCCCTTCTGCTTGTTCCAACCTCGAAGCATAACTGGGCAGGTCTTACACAACCTTATTTCCTCTCACAGAGTTTTTATTTTGTTTTTTGTTTGTTTTTTTGTTTTGGAACAGGGGATCGAACTCAGGTCTTTGTGCTTGTGAGGCAGGCAGCAGAACCACTGAGCTAAGTCCCCGGCCCTCCCGAGTTTTTAGAACTTAAGAACTGTTGAGCATCTCTTAGTAGATAAATGAATGGAGAAGTCTTTCCACTGGACTGACTTCCAGAGGTGAATGAACAGAGAAAAGGCCAGGAATGTTTTACAAATCAACGTGGGCCCTTCTTTTAATGTTATTTGCATATTTTTTATTCTTGGTCTTATCCTAACCCCTCTTTTCAGGGCCACGTGAGTCACGTTTCTAAATCAAGGGTCTTATAAGCCTTTAAAGATATTGCTTTGCCGTGAAGACAAATTGGTAAACAGCTAACATGCTGTGCTACATTTTGGAAGGTGATATTTACAGTTGGAAGCTAACACAATGAAGTGAGAGTCAGGACTACAGAAAAACAACTCTCCAAAGTCAAAAGCTAACGCACACTCTGGCCTCAGAAGGATCTCCCTCAAACTGCAAAAAGTATTATCATTAAAGACCAGCAGTGGCTTTGGAAGCTTCTATTTGCTGATGCGTCTGGCTGCACATAATGGCACACACTGAAATGCCCTGAGAGGAATCTTTAGGATCAGCCCAGTCCATGTTTCTTTTAAACAGTATTAAAACACTGTTCAGACTGAGCCCCTGCCCTAGGCCCCAACAGATCAGATCAATCCGAAGTGAAGTCACTCATGCCAACTCCCTCAAGTCAAACTGAACCTCTAAGGAAGACAGATCCCCAAAGACCAGTTCTTCCTGACAATAGGAGATTCTACCCGAGTCGGTGTAACAAGGAAGTTCTCTCTACTTTAACGCTTCCAAAAATGCGACCCGATGTCAACTTGTTTTCTATCATTCTTCTTCTTTATTCCATCGTATAAGCCCTCTGTTCTGCTGCTGCACAGTAGAACAATCAGGCCACCAGGCAGAATGGAGGTGCTCTAAGAAAATCCTGGATCTATAAATGCATTGTGAGTTTGTATTTTCACAAACTCGTTTGTGACCCACTTCGTTTCAATACTTGCTGGCTGACTGGAGCCACAAACATTGATAATTAAATCTTCATAGAAAGGAATTTATTAGACTAACATTTTTCTAAACACAATTTTCTAAAACATCAATGGAAAACAGGCTGTCATTGAACTCTGCAAAAAAAAAAAAAAAAAGGAAAGAATTCGCTACACGTGGACTGCCACTAGTAACCAGGAGAAATAAATTATCGAAATCAGTTAAATTCAGAACAAAGGAACCTTTTGGCCTCTCACACTTGGGGGTGGGGAAGAAGCAGGCACGGAGAACGCATGATTTATTCAGATTATGAACTGACAGTAAGAGTGCGCGGGGTGCCAGGTTGTCCTGGCAAAAAGAATAAGGAAAACCCATCAAGAGCAGTACACAAATACGACCCTGGGCCTGGGGCAAAAAAATTCTGAATAATGAAACCCAAAACAGGAGTGCAGCCTAAAAATAGTCCTTCTGCCTCTACTGAGGTATTTTCCTTTAAGCATTCATTCGAGATGTGTGGGAAGATAAAACTGAGCTAAGTGACTTTCCAGATTTCATCTGAAGCCAAGTGATGCTCTGAACCATTTTCAATGAACAGTAAAACACAATTCCCATTTCCTCTGGTTTGTTCTTCTAAGTCTGGGAGAGGGCACAAAACTGGACAAAGGGATGGTTTAAATTTTATGAGAAACATATTATTTCTAGGTAAAACATCTTAGTATCTAATTTATGTCATGGAAAACCATTAGATTCTTGGAATTCTGTCAGTGAAAACCACCATAATTTACTTTTTTCCTTAGAGAAAGATGAATACAGGATGACACAATGTTGATATTGTAATTACATTTTCCTATTATGCTACAAATTTAGAAGATTTCACTATTTCTGCCAAGGGTATATATATGTTCTATTCTTTGAAGATTTAAGAAAAAAGTGGCATGAACAAACAACTTGTGTGGTGAACTATGTTATAATTCCAGCACTACTTCTAACCTGATTTAAGAGGTATCTGTTAATGACTAAGTTCGATGCTCTGAGCAGGCATAAAAGACAACGGTACTTCTTTTCTCCCCACTATTTAAAATCATACAGCTACAGTGGCAGTACAAGAAAGAAAAATTCGGTGCCAAGGGACAAGAAAACAGTTCTGTCTCAATTACAGAGTACGAAGAAGAGACAGAAGATGGTGGTGACACAGGGGTGGCTAGCCACAGAGTCCCGCTGTGACTGTCAGTCTCAGGAACAAGGGCCATCCATTCATTAGTCCTGAACACACTATCTAACCCACACACGCGGGTGACGCGTCCCTGTGTGCCCCACTGATGTAAACACAACCCTACAGCCATCCCTCGCCTCAGGAAGCGCCAGGCCCAGAATAACCAGGCGTGATCAAGCACGACCATAATCCCGGCACATGGAAGGTTGAGAAGAGGATGCCCTCAAGTCGGAGGCCAGTCTAAACTCCACGCCGAGACTCTGTCTCAACAACACAAAACAAGAAAGAAAAAGAAACATTAACTTTGGAACAGCCTGCAGGGGGCACTGCTTCTAATTATGCTTACGCATACCAGATCCCATCTGGGACGCTGGGCAAAGCGCAACAGGCATAAGGTTACAGATAATCAGGATAAGACTTGGAAAGGTCCAGGCCAGCAGGCAACGCCTCCCATTTTCCTGCCTGCTTCATACAGCGTAAGATGTACTCTATAGGAATGCTGCGTGTTAGAAAAAATTACACTTGCAAATCTCACTCCTAAGACCTGGCCATCCCCAAAAGGCCCTTCAGGACTTCACGCTAACAGCTCCCAAGCTCCCAGAGAACCTGGGCAAGACAACAAGAGGGTGACCTTCCTAGCTCTCCTGTAATGTGGAGCGGTACACCATTTTCCTCCTCGTCCCTGAAAGTGTGATAAGGGATAGAACAAAGGGAATGAAAAGGTACACAACACCCTTTCTGCCCACATGTAAGCCCGTTTCTGTGCACCACCAGAATTTGTAAGGGAATCTGCAGACAGAATCAGAAGCTAAAATTACAACATAAGACAAATACTTTAAAGGGGTATAACCATATGTTAGTTTCAACCTGAAGAAAGCAACATTTTAATTCAGAACATACTGTACGCACCTATGCTAGACATATTAATTAAGGTAGAGAACAAGAGAAAGACACTGGCATGAACAGTCCAAGACAGGGCAAGGCAGCCGGGGATTTAGCTCAGCGGTTCGGTGGCCTGCCTTGCAAGAGCAAGGACCCGCATTCAATCCCCGGTACCAAAAAAAATAAACAAATAAATAAACAAGACAGGGCAAGGCAGAAACTGACTCTACAGTGCCAGCAACATTATCACATGGTACCCATGTGACAGGAGTTGGGCACTGTCGGGCACTGTCTTTTAAAATGACACAGAGTCTACTGAGTACCATGGTCCATTCCCAGATTCTACGTATGGAAAGGGTCCTCACGTTGTATTTTCAGGACAAATGTCTCCCAACCCAATGATGAGCCTTCTTTTTTTGATCTCTCTCAACTTTTAGTGCAGTTAACTCATGCTGGCAGAAAAGCAAGTTACATTACCTCCCTAGTTTCAGAGAACTGAGGGTCCTGCTGAAATAAATTGATCATGTGTGCCCAACATTCTGATTTTTCTTAATACCGTATATCAGCTAAAATAAAAAGCCCGAAGGGGCTACTTTGAGTGCCTTCCCTGTCCTCACAGAGGAACACACCACATTGGCACAGACAGCAGCATATCAAGGTACTGCTACCCCAAGCCAAAAGCTGCAGGGGACGCTCTACCAAATGTCCCACAGTGAAAAATGCTCTGAGCTTTGATCCCAAACTCCTGGAAAAGAGAAGGAAGTACCAAGGTAACCACTCAAACACAGAAGAAAAATTATCACTGGTCGACTAAATAAGTCTTGAGCATGTGTTACATTCGACTCCTCGCAGTCAGCTGTTCTCAGGTGCTCCAATGCCAAGACTGAGTTTCATGACCGGCACATGGAGAAAGTTCAAGGCATATAAATGTAATCCATAGGTATAAGGGGAGAAACTTAGTACTACTTTTTAAAGCAGGGATCTTACGTGTTAGAGCACTGTGCAAAATGATTTATGTATTACTTTTCCTTTGATCTTCACAGGCCCTCTCTAGACAGTCAGGAAAGACAGGCACCATAATATTCACTCTACAAAGGAGGAAACTGGATCAAATCCTGCCTAGAATCAAAACTAGCAGTGGCAAAGTTGGCTCAAGGACAGGGTCAGATCGAAATCTCTGCTGCCAAACCCATGCTCCACTCAGTCCACGATCTTTAAACCCACAAGAACCCTCACTAGCGAACGGAAGAAATGAGGCCCACAGATTGGTAGAGTTGAGATACAGGGCCACAGAAAAGGCAAAGAAAAGTGGGGTGCGGTGGGGAGAATGCCCAAGCGCTACTTCATTAGCGTTGCCTCACCAATCACAGCCATCTGAGGCTTCAGTAGGAGTTCTTCTCGGGCTGGGGATTTAGTTCAGTGGTTCCACTGCCTGCATCGAAAGTGCAATGACCCGAGTAGGATCCCTGGTACTAAAACACACACACACACACACACACACACACACACACACACACACACACAGCTATTCTCATTAATATTCACAGTGAATGTTTAGTATGTCCAGACTGCTACAACGAAGTGCTTGCTTTAGACTGGGCCACTTTTAAACAGAGATTTATTTCTTACAGTTCTGGAGGTTGGGCAGAAGAAGATCACGGCGCCAGATTTGAGATCCGGTGAGGAACGCCTTCTGGCGCCCAGAACGGTTCCTTCTCCCGGTACTGGTATGGTCGCAAGGTGCGAGGGGAAGGGTGATGACCTCTTTCCTAAATTCACTACTCCCACTCAGGAGGGCAAAACCTCATGACTTAACCACCTCCAAAAAGTCCCATCTTCTAATGCCATCATCTTGGTGATTAGGATTCAACATACAAATTTGGGGCGGGGAGCATTCAAACCATAATGTTCTATCCCAGCCTCCCCAAATTCATTTCCTTCTCTCATACAAAATACATTCCATCTCAAAAGCCTTGAAAGTTTTAACTTTGTCCAGCAGGTTTCGGACAGGATGACCAGGAAGTGGCACCAGCCCAGGGAAATAAAAAGGGGCAGTCGCCACTGAATGCTTGTCGTGTCTCTTCAGGCAGCCCACCCTACAATGCTGTGCAGTGTAGCTTTACTTTTAGTTCTTTTCTTTTCTCCTTTTACCTCCATGCTCTTGGCCCAATCTAGCTCTGCATCACCCGTTTTTTTCTCTATCCTTCCAACTTTCTTCCTACCCTTATGAACGGGACACTTTGCCACCATCTATGCTTGTTTCACTCCATTCTTTGTTCGGGACAGAAGGAACCTAGAAATACTAACCCTAACCCTAACTCTCCTCTGGAAGGAGACTCTGACACCCCCAAAGCTGGTGATGGTCAATGCTCCCTCGCCCTCCCTCTCTCTGACTTGATATACAAGTGCTTTGGATTTCAAGCTGAAAGAATTATTCTTGCAAACCAAGGTTTTACTGTGTTATTGGAGGCAATAAGGAGTATACTTAATGAGGAAATCTTGTCATAAGCCAGCTCATTGTTCTCATCTAGACAAAACTTATTTTCATACAGAATTTTTAACTCCTGGTACCTTTAAAGTGTTGAAAAAGAAGAACAAACAGTGCCGGGGACTTAGCTCAGTGGTGCAGCCGCCTGCCTCGCAAGCTTAAGGACCTGAGTTCAATCTCTGGTACTGAAAAAAAAAAACAAAAACAAAAACAAAGAAAAACCATATCGAGCCTGTGTGTTGTAGAGTTAATCAGCCAAAGAGACAAGAGTTAGAGAGAATTAAGACACTCCCCACAGCAGGCCAAGGGTCTCCCTGAAGCCTGGGCTACTCTTTGGAGATAAGCTGCTATAGCGTGAGGATACGAGGAATTAAATTCCTCTTAGCATCAAACACGTGCCTATAAAGCAAGCCTAAGCCCACAGAGAAATTTCGGTAAAGATCCACTGTGGACACCATCGCCACCAAATACCAACACAAGAAAGGACACAAGGTGCACAGTCGCCAGCACTGCGCGTCACTCAAGCTGTCGGAGGTGAAAGAACGCGCGCACACACAGCGGTGTTCGGGATCGCGGTCACTCCTGACAGGGAAGGGCCATGCGCACTAACAGCTGCTGTATGTTCATCAAGGGGCTCGCACGCTGTTTCCCCTCTTGGCTACCAGACAACCAGAAGCATGAATAACTTGGCGGTCATGTGTGAAGTTGAGGGAAGGGAAGATTTGTGCCCGATTCTTCCGTTTTATAAATTCCTAACTTGTAAATTCCAAGGGTAAGTAAAGCTAACAAATACCCAGATTTTAAAATATCGACCCCCAAAACTAGAAGCTAACAGTTTAAAACCAAATGAAGCTGGGCCAGGGATTTGGCTCAGTGGTTCCAGCGCCTGCCTCACAAGCACAAGGACCCGAGTTCGATCCCCGGTACCAAAAATAAATAAATAAAATAAAACCAAATGAAGCTAAACTCCCCCAAAGGACAAAGTCTATATAATATAAAACTTGTACATATGTGTGCTATTACAAAACAGGCCAACGGTGATAAAAACATAATTTTCATCTGTCCTCATCTCAGCCTTGGACATGAAAGAATCAGTCCTAATAGAAAAGAGTGGTAGGTAATAACTTATTTAAATACTTCTCAACATATCATAGGGTTATGGTCCAATGAGCTCATCTTAAGATGAAAATATCCCAAGTCAAAAATGCACTTAAGTGCCACTGCCTGCCTCGAAAGCAGAAGGTCCTAAGTTCGATCTCTGGAACCAAAAAATGCACTTAAAACCTCAATAAACCCATGATAAGTCAAAAATCATAATTTAATAATTGTAAATTAGGGACCATTCATATACTATTTCAGAAGATTTAACTTGCCCTTAAATCTATGAGCAAGTCTCATTACTGGTTACACATCCCTTAAGAAGCAAAGAAGGTATGCATTTGTCCTGCCTGTAGTCCCAGCTACTCAGGAAAGTGAGTCAGGAGGATCCCCAGTTTGAGGCCAGCCTGGGCAACTTGGCAAGACCCTGTATCAAGTTGTTTTGTTTTTTTTTCTTTTTAACAGGGTGGGAGTATAGCCGAGTGGTAGTGCTTACCTAGAATGCACAAGGCCCTGGTTTAACCCCTACTGCTGCAAAACAACAACAACAAACAAACAACACTAGGACAAGGAAATGACCCAGGAAAATCAAGAACAAAATGGCACCTCAATTGCCTGTCCTCATTCTGGGCTGGGAACAGGTAGCAGCAATTTTCCAGTTCCTGAACTCACCTAAGCAGAGCTTACTGCGATTAATGTTTCGCTTGTACTTTCTGGGTCGAAAAAAAGTCTAAGTCAGTACTACTGTGAAATAGAATTTCTTTTTTTGTACTGGGGATCAAACTTGCGCCCTTGCGCTTATGAGGCAGGTGGCGCAACCAATGAGCTAAATCCCCGGGCCCAGTGCATTTTAGATATAATGATAATGATGATTCATCACAGGGAATGGATGAACTGCTCTGTCTCTATACAGCCCAACAGAGTAAGGAGCAACTGGCCCACATATGGCTAATGCATGTCTGAGAGACAGCTACTGCGACTGAGGAACTGGGGTTTTTATTTAATTTTACTGAATTATAATTTTTAAAACCACATCATGCTGGATGGTTCACTCCTCAAATCTCAGACTTCTGCTAACTCTTGTTACAAACCACATTGGTACTAATCAGAAGCCCATCAAAGTTGAAAATGTCCAAAGACAAAATAGGAAGATTTTTCTGGGGTAAAACTGTAATGCAAATAATACTTCATGCTCTGTGCCAAGCTGAAGGCAGCAGTCTGACATATTACAAAGAGTGGTGCTTGACAAAGTGTAATTTCCTCACTTCTCTGAGAAGCCAGTCAGTCCCACAAAGAGCTGGACCTGAGGCTTCAGAGCAGGCTACCTCTCTAGCCCACTGTGGGCAAATTAGGAAGAACCACCTCGACCTACACACTCTACCTCCGAGAAAACCAGCCCTCTTCAGTTTTTCCTCCCAAGACCAGATCAAACCCCAATGCAAGACGAACAAATGTATTTCAAATACCTGTTTAACACGTGTTATGCACATGTACAAACTCTGCAAAAGAATGTAAATATTATGTACTGCAAACATGTGCTAATAAAACAATAAATGCATACAGAATTTTTAAAAAGCTTAAAGGTTGGCCAGGTGTGGTAAGGCAGAAAGATCAAAAGTTCAAGCCCAGCCTGGGCAATTTAGTGACTTGGCAAGACCCTGCCTCAAAAAAGGGTTAGGAATATAGTAGTCCTTGGTTCAATCTCTAGTACAACAATGTGAAGGCTCTTGGTTCCATCTCTAGTACAAAAAAAAAAAAGAAAAAAGAAAAGAAACTTAAAATCTGCTACTAACTTCTATTTTGAGGAGTTAGGGAAGATGTTATCAAGATTAAATTAGATCTGGGCACACAAGGCCAAAAAAAAAAAAAAGATACATGTATTTGTATATACTTAAAAATCCAATTCCACATAGTTCCAACTGAAGTAATTAAGTCAAATCCACTAATTACCACAGAAGTCACATGATGCGTCAACGACTGGAAACATGTCAATGTTACTCTAATAGTCTGCTGATACTTCATGGTGCTATGAAACTGACCCTTGAAATTAATGCATTAAAATCTTTTTTGTCACTCTATAAAATTGTAGGCTTCATAAAAGGGGTAGACAGTTTACATAGGTACATCTAACACACGGCTTCCTAAACTACTTTAAGGGAAGCAAGACACTGATTTAACGGAGAGAACAAAGAACACTGAAAGAACACGCCTCCTTCTGCTGGAAGGAGACAGGGACGCGGGGTGCCCTCCTGACGTGAGTCGGCATTTGGAGAAGGGAGCCTGGGAAGTCAAGGACGGTATGGCAGGGCAGTGATGAGCCAGTCAGCCAGGGCGCGGGACGTACTCGCTCCCAGGTCATACCTCTGTACCTGCACCCACAAGGGCAGCAGCAGCCTCACTGTGACACACGGAAGGGAACCTGGAGGGCATCCCTGCCACTGCCAACAAACTCATCACTCATGTTTGGCTGGGGGAGGTGGGGACGTGGCCCTTGTCAATATATGACCAAAAGTAATCAGCTGGTCAGAAGACAGGAGCAGTCACCATACCTGCGTATCAAACACTTCATCTGGGTATGGCAGCACACACCAGTAGCCCTAGCTACGCAGGAGGCTGAGACAGAAGGACTGCAAGTTCCAGGCCAGCCTGGACAACTCATCAGGACCCTCTCTCAATATAAAAAACTTTTTTAAAGGTTGGGGATGGGCTCAGTGGTAGAGTGCTTACCCAGTAAGCAGGAGGTCTTGGGGTCTATCCCAACTGCAAAAAAGGAGGGGGAGAAACTATATTTCTCAGTGATCTCCCTCCAACCTACCCTAGCCTACTCCCTATATCTACTACACGGAAAAGGAGCTGGGATGTTTGCTTCTGGCTGGTATAGCCGGACTTCTGCAGGACTTCTAGCCTTGCCTGCTCACAGGTGGATGGCAAAAGGCCTTGTCGTCCTGAGCTCAGGGCAAACACAAGCCCCGGAGCCAAGGCGGGCTCTGACAGTGCCCGCCGAGGTTGCGCCTGGGGCGCAGCTGCCTACCAACACCTAGAGCCAGCTCACCAGCACCCAGCCACCGTTTCTTTTCCAAAC